TATTAGTTGTGTTTTTGTGACTGATGCTTAATAGTTTGTTCTTGTTTTATTCATTTCTTTTCATGGATCCAACACTTCTCTCGTAGATAAGCGACCTAGGAATTTTCCTTAATGGATTTAACTGTTCCAGATAACAAATATTTATCATTTTATGTGGCATCTCGTCTTATTCCTCTCGGAAACCTTCCTTTTATTTCCATTACTGACAGACTGTTTTGTTTCTATGTGCTTTGAGACCATTGGTGTTCCCACTGAGTTATTGCAGTGTAACCAGGTACTATGGGCTTAAAATGCATATTAGCTTGTAGGATTTCCTATACGATGTTTTTTTTAATTCGTTACTTTCGCGTAATTCATGAGTTATAAGAACTCTCTGGGAGTCATACTACTTACTCTTTATTATTAATTAATTTTGCAAATTGTTGTGTTCTTTTGGTTGCGTCTCCTCATTTCCTTAGCTATTTGTTTGATCTTCCCACATTGTCCGAAAATTTTATGTAACCATATTGATTGTTGCTGTGGTTGTTAGAAGAGACATTGGCCTTGTGACTTCCGAAGAATCTCGGCTTTCGCCATGAGGTGTCATAATTCTTCTGAAAGAAAATCCTTTATGTGTCAGGGAGGAGTTTAAGTGGTTTAATTTGTTTGTTCTGGTTGGCGTTTTCTGAGCAAACCTTTTTCGATGGATGGGGTTGCTGACTCCATGCCAAACCCCCCTTCTTCACCTGGGTTTGGGACTGGCAGTAACCATAGAAGAGCTACAGGCGGAGTTTTTCATTTTTATACTTAGTGTAATAATCACAAGGTTTTTATGATTTCGTATATTTTCCAGAAAATTGTCGGAAAGTATATCGTCTAATATATTTCTTCCCACGTTAGTTAACGATAAAGTCAATAGTTTTACAACGTTCTTGTTTAATGCAGTTAACGAATATTATATACATATAACCGATTATCCGATAATAAATATTGTGGAAAATGAAAAAGAATTTTACTGAGTGTATCTCATCTAAGCTTTGTCATTATCTTTATTTTACAGTAATTTATTATTTAATGTACAGCCTAGTATACTGTATTTGATTATTACCTTCTTTTCTAGACAAGCTTTGGATCAACTTGAAAGTGAAGTTCAAGAACGTATAAACCGTTGGAGTCGTATTGAAGCTTTAACTGGTCACTTGATACGTTCAGACATTCATAATCAATATGCGAAAAGTACTATTTGTGAAACTACAAGTTCAATTCCTTGTTCAATCGATAAGTATAGATATTGTAATGGTAGTATGAAGTCTAGTGATTCTGATCGTTTGTCATCTATGATTGAAGAAACTTCTCTAGAATCTAATCGTTTTCCTAAATCTACTGGTAATGGTTTAGTGAATGATTTCGATTGCACTCATAATAAAGAAAGTAAGTCTTAAAATCATATTTTTATCTGAATATTTCGGTTGTAGTTCATTTAGGACAGATAGGAGGATATTTTTACGTGGCTGTTGATTAATTAATTGTCTAAATAATGATTGTTCAGTGTATTACAGATTATACGCATAATACTTTATTATGTTGGGTTCAGTCTACTTACAAATCAACATTGAAAACTAATATTTACTTTTTGTGAATCTTATATTTGTGTAGTTTTCAACTTGAAAGAATCATTTCAATTAAACACTGAAACGACTGATACATTCAGGACAAGTTTACCGCGAAATTATTCGTTTGTTCGACCATTTGCTACTTTATGGAGACGTAAGACAAAATCTGGTCGAGGTAAATCAGATTCTAAACAGTAATTATATAGAATTTCTCTTTTTTTCCTCAGAGTAATACACTTATTTTAATTTGTTTTCTTCCACTATTTATCTTCACAAGATGTCAAGCTGAATCTTTAAAATGACTTCATTAGATTCTTTGTTACTTCCTGTTATATATATACGAATAACCTTAGCATACATTCCTTTAATCATTAGTGTGTCTTTCTATTAGACTGTATATTTGAATCTTAAGGGGGAAATTTTTTGACTGAAATCACTGTGTTTAGAAATTTTGTGCAATTTTGACTTTATTTTCAAGCGGAAATTTATCATTTATTTACCTTGACCTGTTTACTTAAATCTTTTGACTGTCATAGTACTTTACATTTGCTATAATATACCTATATTTGTTTTCCTTTTTTGTTTGTACTTTCATAATATTACCCAGGTTGGTAATAACTTTAACTGTGTTAAAGGCATTTATATTTATTTTAATTAAATTTTTTCTTATGATAGACTCCTTTTTTCACTTATTTCAAATTTGTCAGTCACAAGGTGAATTTTATCTTATTTCATGTTGATGATCGTCTCTAACAACTTTGAATGACGTAAAGTGACAGAATACGAATAATTAATTGTGACTGGTTGCTTCTTACTAAGTTACGTACAAAGTAAAAAGTTTATTTCAAATATCAGTTTAGTTGGAATTGTAGTTAGCTTTCATTCAGTGAATAGTAAGTTGTCTAAAATTTCAGATTGTAATTTACTCTTGAAAGAGCTTTCATGAGCTATTTGAGCAGTAAGGTTCATTGAAGACAGAGTGCTTAGGGTAGGATGAAGGGTTTGCAGAAAATGCTTTTGGTTATAATGTAATTCCGCATTCATATTTTCCGGGTAAATAAGAGCTACAAATGCGCGAAATGAGAAGTTTAACGCATTGATAAATGATTCTATAGAACAGCCATTTGATAACTAGACATTTTAATGGCAAAGTATGAATGTAACTTGAAATTGTTACGTTGTATTACTAGAAGGTATGCACACTTGCTTCAACAACTGTCATTGGTTTGAAATGGAGTTGGATAGTGTTGTTCGGAAACGTATTTCAAACCAACCAAATCGGCATAGGACGTTTCCAACTAATCACCGCGCAAAGAAAGGAAACCATCTAAAAGTTTAATCAAGAGACCTGGGATCCATAAAGTCGAGCTACTGCGACGTCATCATTATATTGTTAGTTATTTTGTGTATGGAACGTTCAGATGGATGGGATTGCCAATGGGTCCAGTCGTAGTCGATTTCCTTCTGGGGAAATTGGAATACATCCATCTAAAACGAGTGCTAGGCGCACTAGGATTTTATTGTCGCTTCATGTACAGTACAGTTATAGTTACAAAAGACCATAGCGAAGCTCAGAACCTACTACGAAAATTTAATAGAGTCAAGCGGACAATAACCTTCACAATGGAAGGAGGAAAGTACGACTCCATATTTCTAGGTGTCCTATCTGCCAAAAGAACTAGTAAGACCTTAAGACGTTATTCCAGGACAGGTGCCCCGTGTCATTCATTTCGCTTTCAGAAAAAATATGTTCGAGGTAAGATGGCGGACGCTCGTTTGATATTCGGATGCTGAAAATGTGCCTGATTTGATGTGAGATTCATCTTAGTCTAGCAGGTTTTAATTCTTTTCATGAGTGACAATGTTGCGAGATAATTTTTCAAGAGTTAAAATGGACGACTTACAAGAACTTTATAAAGGACGACCTGCGATACAATAACCATAACAATGTAGCCCCAATGAATTCTGTTTTTGCAGAACAAATAATAACATAACCGAAAGAGAACTGCCTAAAAATACGGACTGACAAAATGAAATACCCTTAAAAATATTTTTAAAGTTATAAAAATAATGATGGTAAACTAGACCGAATTTCACATAATTCATCATTATTAATCGCGATTTAGTTGTCAGTAAAAATTTGATATTGGCATTCCTCACTTAACAGTCTATTATTTGAGAATCAACTATTATTATTGTAAGTAGAGTGAGCCAAATGTACAATATGTGAGAATAGATTGTAGTTTAACTTTTCACTGCTTTGTAAAGGTCGAAGTCTCGATTGTTCCACCAGCTAAGAAAGTTCAGGAAACGTTCTGCACATCATTCAACCGGAAGACTGGCACACTGTTGGGGGTAAAAAATAACGGCTTGCAGGGTTACATAAATGTCACTGGGTCCTGACTAAATCATTTGGCTCTCAGATCATCTCCTTTCTATGTATTGTACTGTCATCAAATTAGCCATAGTACCTGCATACGACGAAAGGGTAATCTACATCGCGTATTAACCGTGGGTGTGGCCTCGACGTTCAAATTGGATAGACCACCAATCGTCGACGCAGATCATATATGTTTGCGATCTATAGACTCATACTAGTTCATTAGTAATATATTCATTTCTGCTTATTTCATATGCATTGGAAGCACCTGTGATCCATTACTACAAATTAGAGAAGCTCGCTAAGCGAACGCTCTTTCTGTTGTATCTTTAATCATTTGAAACACTTGAACTGTTTGAACTTTTTTTTCAGTTCCTGAGTAGTTGAACTGTCTGACAGTTAGAAGGATGTCAGATAACCTAACAAAAACATAGCTAAAATTAAGACGTCATTCAACACGAAGTAACAGTTTTTCAGTTTGTTAAATTAGGATAACATATTGACCTAAATATCGATAACCGCAAGGTTATAAACTTATGAGCATTCGAAAATTCGTGATACTTAGATTGAACCATTTAATCGAAAATTTTGTCAAAATATAATGGCTTGACAAACGAGCATAGATCCTATGGTGATCATCACGCGTAATAAAGGGCAGCTGAAGAGAGTGCACAACAATAAACTCTTTGATTAACGGCTGTGGTTAATGAAGTAGAACATGGAGTAGCGTTAATCAGTATTTATCTGGAGACTGAAAAACTGAGTACTAATTTATAGAAAATCGTAGTCTAATAAAAGAAAAATATCTGATATTTTAAAAATGATTACACTCAAGAAAGTAGATATGATATTTATGAGATGATATTCAATTATAATGTCGAGACATTTTTATTGTACACTGAAACGTCATCAGATGTACATGTCACTACGAACTCAACTTCTGGTGCTTTCAAAAAAATGTATAATCCTGAGGGAACTACTGGTATTGTCACGACTTGTGTTCTTGATTTAGAACTCGAGAAGTTTTAATGTGCCAAGGCCAAGGCGGGTTTATTAAAATGTCTGAAGGGCCGGGGAGGGGTTGTTTGATGACATTTCTAGTTCTTACCTCGTTAATCTACAAGTCATCTCAGATAGGTAAAAGTTATTAGCATTTCATAATATTGTTTGGATCTTTGTAAGATTTGTGGTATGTGGTTAGGTAGGAGTGTAATTTTCAGATGTCGTAGTGATCACTATGATAATGCAAAAATATTGAGTATCATTCGTCAAGATGTTTCAGAGTTATGTAATTTAATTTATGGCTTTTTTTCTTGTTTATAATACTTCATATTATTTTATTTTGCTCAATTTGTATAATTTTGACCAATTTCATTTGTTAGCAAGTGAATTCCGTAAGTATAAATGTATAGTTTTTTGATAGCCATTCATTCCTTAGGGAAAACCCTCAAGATATTATGTTAAGTCATTATAGCTGCTATAAGGTTGTTGACACGTGACTTTGTTTCCAGTTATTTGTACTTATTAATTTTACAAAATTTCTCTTTTATCCCAATAAACACTAGGTATCGGCCCTGCTCGCGATTTGAATAACCTGTAGTTTTTTCTTTTCAGTGGCGCTGCAAAGTAGTGGAGATCGTTATTTATAATTAATCAACTGCAATTTAGCATTTTGTTGAAATATATTTTATGATTGCTTTCATGACAATAATGTCATCAAATTCATGACCGAATCGAAAGTTAGTGAATTGGGTGAGACGATAATTTCCAGAAAACCTTTGAACGAAGCTGAAGTGACTTTGAGAGTGGACGCCTACTGATTAGGACTAAATGAGGGTTATATAACAGTTATAATTCCCAATTGCAGTTCATGGTTATTGTTAAAAATTAGATTTAAGGTTTTCATCACGAACTGACATCAGCTATAATGCCAAAACTAATTAGCCATATGTATGGATGAATTCCGTGCCTAAATTCGTGACTCTGTCTTATATCTCATTGGTTCGTCCATAAATTATAGTCTCGCAGTGTTGCACAATTTTCGGTACTTCATATTCTGCATAACGTTTTCTAACATTTTATAAGTTTATTATCTGCAACTACTAATACGAAGTTTTTTTTAGGTTCAGTTACACCAGAAATTATTGTACTAGATACCAATGGCAACCAAAAAGAATTAGATGGTATTGCTATTGTTTACAATTCCTACGTCACTTTAATTTGCCGTACAGTATCTGACGAACATCTTCTAAGATGGCTGTATGCACCATCACAAGATGGAACGTTTACGCCACTAAATAATACAGGCCATATTACCATTTCGTCTCAAAAAAATGAAGAAGTATCGTTGCTACTCGTCAGCGTTCAGTTTAATATGTCGGGCGTATATCAGTGTACTAATGGACTTGCCAGTCGTCAGATAGATGTTCACGTTTATGGAGGTATTTTTATGTTAATAACTCAGTTTCCTGTTTAGTTTTAAACAAGATTAGTAGTACTGTCCACTTGATAAAAAAACATGAGGTGGTTGGTGCTTACAGTCTTCAGATTAACACAATCAATTCAAGTTATCATCCTGTTGTTGCGTGTGAATTCCGAGTTGGTTCAAACGGTATACGATACACTACTGTCCGTTGGAGAGGCGGAAAGTATCATGTTAAACCCAATCTTTACAAAGTTACTGAGAGTCGAGACGAAAAGTCTGGCATTATATGGAGTAATTTGACATTGCTTCATCCTTGTAAGCTTGATGATTTCACTCCACTTGTTCTATAATACTTCATATTTCATCCCTAAGCTTGATAATTCATATAACCTGACACTTGTCACAAGTGTAAAGATTTTTTCGTCTAGTGACATTAACCCAATCACTTGATTTACGATCACTGGTGACAGGCTCCATTTCCACTCTATGTACTTTTATATATAAGCATATTGTGTTCCCAGTTTTTACATAACAATTGTGACCTATAGCCTAGTACACAAACATTTACTAGGCTAATGATTCGATAGTACATATCTTTTGTCTTACACACTTATGCTCTTATAGAGACTTAACAAATTATTCATTAGTCACACTCAAACGTTACTTTTGAAATCTTCATATCACGATAACGTGAAGTAGCGAGTCATTAAAAACAATAATTTTCAAATTATTTGCGAGGTTGGAGGCAATCAACTTTCCTAAATGTCTAGTACTTGAGTGTCTTTCAATTTTGGTCGTCAACATCTTATTACGTATCGCATATTCTGTATTTGACTCTACGTCGAATAAAAACCACTATTCTTCACACTTGTATTATAGTACTTTAAATTGAACAACAGGCTTATCGCGATAGTAACAGCTTCATGAATTCTAATCATACTCATTGCTGTTTAATTGGCTTTTAGTGTCAGTTACTATGTTAAGCCCATATAGTTTATTCTAGCTTCTGGACAGGCCAATTTATCCATTCTTCTTGAGTCACGTTTTGGCCTTGTGAGGTATTCACTTATCAGCCTTGACTGTTTTAATATGAGCGTATGTGTGTAGACTTCTTATCATATTCGTCAAATATCTGTAACCTATTTTTACCTTGCCATAAATTAACGCTCGATTAACTAGAGTTGACTTACATGTCTTCTCCACTGTGCTTCATTTCGCTTCATTCTCTTCTCTTCGTCCCTCTGATTGCCTGTCCAGATCAGTGAGTATACAGAATATATGTGTTCGAAAATCCATTCTCGTATTTGGCTTATTTACTTCCATTATCCACTAACACGAACGAAGTTGTTTATTACATTCAAGGATAACCGACATGTGTATTTCAATAACATCCATACGATCCAATTGGAGTCTGACATCAAGCCACTAAAGTGAGGAGCCCGTCGATAACATCTTTCGATCTAAGTGACGTCAAACTGAAGGGCCTCACTAAAGACTACTTATTTATTGTCTCAATTGATTGATCTATGATTTAGCTACTTTTCAGATTTATTTTTCCATTAGTTGTGCGCTAGTGAATAGAGGAATAAATTAGTCCTTTTACGTTCAGAAGTACATATCTGTGTCATTCAAGGCTTTATGGAGGGTAAGGGTTTCATGTCGCATAGTATGGAAAATATTGTTAAGGTTAAGAAGTTTCTATTCAATCGTAATTAAATGCGTTTTAGAAATAGAAACTACCTTAGTTAACACTGATGCTTGTTTTTATTGAGTTTTAACGTATGATTTTACCAGGTTCCTGTATATTTTACGAAATATGATTTATTTATCGTTTGGAATTGTTACTCTTAACATAGCCTATGACCAAGAACTGTACGGAAAATATTATTGCATGTTCAATATTGTGCCTGGTACTATGGAGACAGCTGAATTACAAATAAGCAGTGAGCTAGTTTTTTGATAATTTATTGTAATACTATATTAATATTTATGTAAAAATGGTAGTTAAAAATTGGTCGTTCAGGTTTCTTCATTGAATGACCAAAGTAGGTATTTATATTGCTAGGAAATATTTATTACTGCCGAAATAGTAGATTATCCGGTAAAAATTCACTAGGTAGCGCCACAACTCATCGCATGATCCTCTTAATAATCATCGGATTTCTTGAAATTCATTAATTTAAACTCTAAAATACTGTGAATTCAGGCTACCCCATTAGAACCTGCTAAAATGTGCTTTTATTCACACTCGTTTTGAAGCTTTTAAACTATTGACGAAACTTTATCTTCGTTAACTTCAAAATTTTAGAGACTCGTCTCAGTGAAAATCCTACAAGTACTCGGTTGTATTTTCATTAACCATCGCAGGGCCGGCATTTAACAATCCTTATTCTTTCTCGTTTTATCTTTAGTTGTTAATAATTGAGTTAGAGAGTAAATCACTCGTGATAAAAATCCCAGTTACGAGTTAAAGCTGCGCTATTTCGGTCATTCGACCATCACCCGTTGTGACCACGGTTCGAAAAATTCAAACCTTTTTAGTCTGAAGAATACCGAAAAATACCAAACAATGTTGTTTTGCAGTTGATTAAGTAAATTAAGAGATCATGTAGCACTTACTTACAAAGTTGTCATTAATTGGTATTAATGCTTAATTCCTAATTAGTCATGTTTTCATAGTTTACATCCGGGACTAATCTTGATTAGACCACCACTGTAAACCAGGTAGCACTGAACAGTCGTCAGTGATAGTATAACTATGATCACTTCATGATGAAAATCTAGTAATCTCCAAAATACCTGATTGATTATAATCCATTGTTACAACCATACATAATTACAAGTGTACGTGCACGCACATATGATTCATATCCTGGCGTCTCCCTGATAACTGGCTGTTTTCTTTTTTATCCAGACTAGATAAGAAGAGTAAATGTTCGGTGAATTTTAATACATTTTCGTATAAATAATAAGAAATCAAAGCAATACACAATAAATCATATAGTTCAATTATAAAGACCTTTATACTGCTAGATTTTGTTACATGCGTATGTTGTTTGGATTCATATCAACCATTCTCTGTACATATCTTATTTGTTTACTGTTATATCCCGATGAAAATTATGAATGTTAACAACTTTTGAGAACTATTTATGGACAAGTGTTATACGTATATTAATGTATAGCTATCTAGTAGCTAGATTGTGTATATCTATAATTTTATTACATGCTTTCTTTTGACCTATAAACTATTATTATACGATTTACCGTTGTTGAGTTGTGCTCAGTCTATTAATTACAGTCTTCCATATTCACAGATACTTTTGGCTAGATCTTGTACGTGTTATTTTCTTTTTATAGTACGATGTGGTCTGTTTGGTTTGTACATAAACCCAATATATTTAAAATACTTGATTCGTATTGCAGAAGCTGACAGCGGTGTGCTGGACTTAACAGGCAGGTCTAGGCAGGAAGAAGGACCGATAAAGACTCTAGACTGCTCATATGGATTTTATGCGTCATTGGTCCGGTCGATAAATTACTATTCTTTAATTGGCGATATCATTGTGTAATATATTAATAGGGCACAAGGTCACAAGACATAACACAGTTAGACAAAAGTAATAAAGAATTTCGGTAATGCGTTGAGTAGACGGCAAGTAACAAAGAAAAAAGAATGAAATTATTAACAATTAGTGTGTCTAAAAAGGTTGGATAAAGGTTAAGAAAATATGTAAAATCACCGAAAATAAAATATTACTGAACAAGGAAGTGTTATTTGAAGTATTATATAAACAGTTTATCCGTTTCATCAAAAGTGTACGATTATCTATGTTAAGCTGTAAGTTTTCATCAACATGTATAAATAGGTTTCGATTTAATTTAGGGGAAGAGCAACTATCACTATTTGTAGGTTATGTGATGAACGTTGAGATGAACTACATATTTAAACTGGGAAGCGTTTCAGTTTTTCAAGTTGGACTTGGGAATTATTACAATCTCAACATACTACATCTTAAATTTACTCTTGAACATGATTTGCTATCCGTACTTTCCGGTGGAGTTTTGTTCTTTGAAGTGGATGGCTTAATCGTCGAGCATCTACTCAAAGCTTGTGCTAATGATGTTGCCCGGAAGAACGATGAAGGTTCTACAACTAAGTCATCGAGCTCAGAGAACGAAACTCAACCAGAACCGTTCACCTGAACTACAAATCTTCTGCGTCTTGATATTCATAATACTGATCAATTGTATCTGTGTAGAACTTTTTAAATAGTATTGTTGTACAAAAAATAATTGTTCTTAGTGACTTATTTACTAATAATTAATTTTAATTGATGCTATGACTTTAAATTAACTGTTAAACTAATTTATTTTTTTCCTTATATCTTCATACTGGAAAATTTTTTCTTATATACATATCAAGTTCCACCATTAATACACAAAAATGAACGTAGTGTAAATCTTTATTCTGGTGTGAAATACACTTACTTCTGTGATATTATTGCCTACCCACCAATCACTGAACCTATTTCATGGATGAGGAATGATGTTCCTCTAGTAATCCAACATAATGGTCGAATTCCTGTTCATGATAATTCTGAAAATCGTATACATTTTGAAAGTAAAAACGTTCTCAATGATCAAATTGTATTCGATACAATACAACCAGATGATAGAGCTGTCTATTCATGTTTTGTTCGTGGAGCATTTGGAAATGATACAGCAGCTTTCTTTTTACGAGTAAAAGGTTGGTTTTTATTTCAAACTAAATTTTTCTGATAGAAATATTCAACTTTATATGGTTAAATGTCTAATACAAGACAATATGAATTCAATCAACAAAGTTTTTTTGTTTACGAAATAATGTAGCCTGTTTCGATTCGTTTGTCGATAAGATATTAATCATTCAAAAAATACATGGCAGTAATATGTTTTCCTAATACGTGTAACATTAAGTGAACATTTTATAGTCTGGAAATGTATTCTAACTAGTGATATTTTTTAAAAGCTTATTCTCACTCTTTTTCTTCGTTTTTCATCATATTTTTCTTGTTTATCCTAACATTTTGATGTATGTATTGCTGAGAACTGTAGTGACATGAATACACAGGGGGTTGTTTGGTTTTATACTTCAAAGGTTTGTTCTTTGCAGATAAATGCTGTAAGGAACTCAGTTCTTATTTTTCATATGAATTTTATGTGTCAGAAACCAGTATATTCAGTCTGTGAATATGTGATGAAAGTGTGCAGAATGTAGATCTAAAATCTTCAAATCATGAGAATGGTTTGTACGTTAAATATTCTCTGCCCAGTCTGTTTGAATTCTATAGTTTTAATAATTGTTTTTCTAAAGAGACTACTCTTTACTTAGACTTATCTTGTATACACGGCAGTCAGTCATTCACAACGTAAAACCTGTACGTGCGTACGTTTTTTCAAGTCTCCATACCCTATTAACACAAAGAGATGAAGTTGTCAGGCCAAATCTCAGAATAGTAAAGGTATTAACAATGTCCGTAGTAATAGGAAAGACTAGACATTGAAGATGCGACTCGAAAAGAAAATATAAATTGGCGAAATGAAAATATAAATTTATGAAGAATATAGAATTTCAGGATTTAGGGGAATCTAAAGAATGGATGCACCTTCACCATTGCAAATGACTTTGAGTCATGTCATTCGAAGTCTATAATCATTGGTTACGATAATCACGCGGATCCCAACCAGGTAGTCTGTACCTATTAACACGAGTCAGCCTGATTGTCAGTGACTTCATGAACAGATATCAGGGTTTGGCTGTTCCTATCGTTTCTCCTGACTACTGCTCCGAAAGACATTATCCGTCAAGGTAGGAGGTGGTTGGGCATGCGTAACACATGTCTCCGCCATCTCAATTGATGAAAATTTGCTACCTCATCATTTGATTCCCCATCTTTACCTAGTACTCTACTCTTAACCCAAACATTATTTACTCTATGGTCCCAAAATACACGAGCAATGCTTCAAATACTAGTAACTTATGAATATACTCTACTCCACGTAGCCATTAGGCTATGTATCACATCCATCAAGTAGAACGGAGAAAACTGTTGAGCAGATGGATATCTCGCCTGCATCATAAGTGACGCGAGTTGGCAAAGCTACTCGAACTTGGTAGATAGTGAACATCATATTAAGCTTTCTCTGTTTTATATCAAGTTCCAAAGAATCTACTTCAAGGAGCTAGATTGTGGCTATTCTATATAGCCGAAGCCATCTGAATCAACTCCAGAAGATCGAACTTATGTGTCCAGAAGAGTTATATTTAGCCTCTATGTTTACCTTGACCCACGACTGGGTCACCTCTCATTACATATGTTCATACAGCGATATTATTATTATCACCTTGATTAATAAGATGGAATTCTCCTATTATTCATTTTACTCACACAATTTTTTATTTTTTTTACATTACTATTATACTGATTATGACTTGACATTTTACTACAAATCATTCTGACCTTTCTAATTTACAAATAACACCATTTTGGAGTATATATGTCGTAACAGATGCAAACGTTCACCATTTTTAACACATAACATTGTCAAATTCATTAATGAATGCCTTATTTTGGCTTTTGTAAGATATTATAATTATGGACTTATAACTATAACCTAATAATGAAGTTGTTGAAAACAATTGTCCGCTCAAATATCTTCTATTTTGTATAATTTTTTAATCTAGATAAATATTTATTTCATAGCATGTAGTCAACCAATACCTCACACCAGTCTTAGATGGGAAAATAAATCCACTATTATTGTTCTGTTGTCTAAATTCAAAATATATATATATATATATATATATATATATATATATATATGAGCCTAACAAAAAAATTGCAGTTTTCATGACTTCTCTCAACAGTATGAATGTGCTATTTTCAATCCTAATTTTTGACTGCTATTTAATTTGTAACATTGTAACGCTTTTTTGACGTAGTAAATTTGATCGATTCTATTTTAATATTGTTGATGAATTCTTATCGAAGCTTCTTGGTAATTTGTTATTTTTATTTCATCAAAAGCAAAAACTCACACCATATATTAGATCTTTGGTTTTCCGTACTTTTTTTTATTATCAAACTTATGTTTAATTTATTTTCGTCTGAAACTGTAGTTTTATCTTCTAATCACAACTGTGAATTAAACATTTTGTTAAGATTTCTTGAATCATGCATTGTGAATGACTTGGAAATTTCTATTGAACATTATTATTTCGCTTCAGTAAAATAAATTTCATATTAATGATAACAAGTTATTAGGATTAGTAAATCGTCATTCGTATTGTCCCAATGTATTTATCATTATATCGGTGGTTGTCTTGATCTTTCACTTGGATAATTGATGGAAGCATAAAAATTATTCACTTCATTAAGACCTATTAAAGTCATTGAAAATCTAGTATAAGACTAGTTAAATAAGTAATGTTCTTTTGGTATTACCCATCGAATTGTAAATACTTGTGCGTATTCTCTGAGTGTTCAGTATTGAGCTGTAAACTGCTAGTGTAAAGTTATCAGCTAACTGATATAAATTTGGATTTCCTGTTTGTCGAATTAGTTATGTGTGAATTGTTATGCTTGTTGGATGCTTAAGTGTCTTGTATTTTGTACTGAACTCCTAAATCCGACATTGCATAATGAAAACACAAGGCTAAGTTATTAGCCTTATTTACAGCTAAATTAACAATCAGATTTGTATAGTTTGAAACAGTAGCATTTAACATCAGTTACTCAATAACTTACTATGTGAATACAAATTCGATATCTTACAGTCAAGCATCTATAACCGACAGATATAACTATTTGATAAAGTTGCATAATCATTCCTCAAGATGTGATTATATGTCACAGACGATCAATTTCATATGTCTGTCCCACTCCAATCGATTAAACCGTTGCTCATTGAAACTTATATATAGAGATATACGTGGTCGCAGTAAAACTGATTTAGTGTGTATAAGGCTCGAACGTATTCTGGATTACTCTGTTTTAGTAGTTCCTAAAGCCTATCTGCTAGCTTACAAAACTTTATGTTTTTAAGATTGGTTGTTATCAACAGTTCCATAAATTATTAGAGCATAATATAAGGACATGTGGAAATCGAAAATCAATACACTTTTGGGAAAATTTACTGACTTCTAAGACCCCCTTACATAGAGTTGTATGTTTCACATTATTATGTATCAAATTTCAAATTTTGTCAGCCAGTCCAATAATAAATTGTCTGTAAGTTTATAATTTTATGAGATCGTTGTAAATATCTTCACAATGAGATTGTTATTCTTACAACCGATTCTTCACAGTACCATCTCATGTTTCTAATTATTGGCTTCTCGTAAAATGTGTAGACGTGATATGACTCTGAGTAATTGGTATTCTGCAACTACACGTCGAACCTAACACGAAAATAGGGTATTATCGAACCCTATCTTTCATTCAGTACCTGACGTTTTTATATCAATCAGACGGTTTAGATATTATGTAATTGCTATTGTTGTCATAATTTTGATTCGAAGTTGTGATGCTTATAATCATAAAACACCTTATATTTTCATATAATAGTCAGCAACAGTAATTATTAAAGTTTAAAAAAGATTCAATGTAACTGCATAAACAAGTTTCGTCTACATCATATTAAAGTATTTTTAACGTGTCTGCTTACTGTTTGTTTGCAATATAGATCGTCGTGCTCCTCTATGGCCTTTAATTGGTATTATCCTAGAGGTGGTAGTTTTGTTCATAATTATTTTAATTTATGAATTAAAACGCCGTGAGCGTACTAAACGAGAAGAAGCTGAAGAAAATTTGGTCACATCTAGCAAAACACCAAATGCAGCATATGGAATTGATGAAGCGAGTGAGAATATGTAAGTTGTTTACTGAGGAGTAAATTTATTCCTGAAAGCTAATTATTTTCTAGTTATATCTTGTTTTTATAATATGGTGCTGGATATGTTTTTTTCTCTCAATTAAATTAGTTCAGAACCTTGTGCATCTTTGACCAAGATTGTTTAAATGCTGCAACTTAATATGCGCGCATACATATGTTTCATCACAAATGAATTGAAGTTAAATGATAATCAGAAATTATAAACTTAAGTTTCGTTTTAGTAATAATATTTCATAGATTATGGCCCCTTCCAGGTAAACTTCAAATTACCAAGTTTTGCGTTAATAAATTCTAGTCATCTCTCTATAAAGATAACTGCGATAACTTATTTCTGAATCCACATTGACTTTTGATGCTGTTTGGTTGGTTGTTGCCATTTTTAGTTCTTTAGTTTTGCTGTGTCTCATAGTAATGTTTCCGTGCTTTAACACAATTATTGTGCCTCGGATTTAACTTTCTTGAATATCAAGCTTCTTCTGACTTCTTCCTGTCTTCCATCGCGCTGGGGGATTATTGTCCAAGTTCTGTATCAGTCATCCTATTTAACTAGTTGGCGTAAATCTTTATGTGTAAAAAGCGTACCCAATCGTTTTCAATTAGAAGCGACCGTACTTCAATAAAAAAACTTTACATTTCATTGCTATGAGTATTTCAAGTTCAGTCATGATAAGCAACTCAAGCTGCTGTTTTTTAATTTTCTTACATCAGCTTCTGAGGTCCAGGCAATCAGATGTATCTTTTATAGACTACTAGTCAGTGATCAGTAGATTATTTCTAACCGTGAAGAGAATTGAGTGATTACATGCATCTTGAAACATTTGTGAATATGAAGTGTATCTTCACAAATAAATATTGTCTGTGGTAGTCATCTGGTTATCTACACATTCTTATTTTGGTTTGTTGCTCCTCATTGTATTTAGTCTTACCCTCAAGTTATGGAAATTGTCAAAAGTTGCAAGTAGGATAAATAAATGGTTAGTAGATGCATGACTCCTATTCTTTAAGTTTTACTTCCATTTCAATCGAAGTAGAAACATAGTAATACATAGTTTTCGGTTGTAATATTGAATTTAATAGTATGGAAAACACGGAATTGGCAAGTTTTTATTAGTTTACTTGTCGTATTAGTGTAACCAGTTTTCTTAAAACAATTACATCTAGGGAGATTATACGAACGTTTCTGGAAAAACCTGGATTAATAGATTTTAGGAATACGGAGTTTTTTAGAGATTTACTATGTCAATAAAAACACTTTTTAAGAGAATTTAAATGGGACTTAAAAAATCAATCCATATAATTACTTTTTAGTTCCTTTGCAATCGTTAAAATCCGATCATTTATAATCTGTACTTTTGTCTGCTTTAAAGTAGATTTTCATGTTGCTATAAGATTAATGTCTCTACAAACATGTCGCTTACATGTTTATGTGTATAATAATGCCTAGTCTGCTCCCGCTTCGGTTTGCGCGTCCGGTCAGTATTCCAGCCCTCACACGAATCTTTCGATTTGTGTGGCGCTTATCTATTTGGTGCATCTCTGTACCAGTGTTTATATGTCTAAATAATCTTGTTCCAGTTAAAATGTTCTTAATTTTACATTGAAGTTTTATTTATGCAACATTAATTTGGTGATTTGAAGAATCTCTCCTATTCCAGTTTTATTAACCGTATAATATAATTAGTTCCTACACAAACCGTGTGAATCAAAGCTATGTATAGAAATCTGTTCTTGATAAACTAATTCCATAATTATAAGAATTATTTATAGTTGACATTTGATTTGTTTTTGATCACTTGGTTATCATTTTGTTTTCTTAATTTACACTACATTCTCTAAACCAAAACAATAACAAACCACTATATTCCGATTGTTCCTAGTACACAAATTATATTTATTAACACAAGATACTATTACGTTAAATAATAGGTTAAATGGTGAAGCTTTGCATATGTATATTTTCATCATAATCCTTTCTTTTTGCTAAAAAATACTGTAGACTATATGGAACTATAACAGGATGAGCATAAAACTTAAGATGAAATAGACATGCTTAGAAATCTATATGTTATAGTTTAATATTTCAAACCTTTTTAAGAACAGAAGAATGTCGCTACTTTTTCGGAAACGGATGGTTCCTTAAGTGGTCACTTTCCAGTTTTCCATTTGAACCTCTACCTACACAATGATAAAACACCCTTTTTATTCGCTGGTAATCATATTGTATTTGTTTTTCATCTTTTCATTGAGATCCAGAAGTTTGTGTATATCATTGATTCTAACCTCAGGACTTTTATCTTTAGTGAAACTGTCCTCATCGTTGAATTTGGTTTAAGCTGTATAGACATGAGCTTTTACATTTTCAAGTAACATCCTATCACATAGATATTGTGAATGGAACGTGTGCTGAAATTTAACTGTTTTGACAGCAGTTCAATAAAATCAGTATACTGTACGCGATCCTGGCTACATATACTAGGGAATTTGTAATCATGATTATAATCAGTATTGATTTCTTCGCGTTATGTGATAATATCAGGAAACAATATCCGGGATATACTACAAACGAGGTACATCATAATGGTTTATGGTTCGCCTAGCTCCATGCTATTTATTGTTTTCTATTTTTTGACAATTTCTTGCCTTCTTTTCCAGGTTATTACGACAACGAGGTGATCGTCACTAGGACAACATTTCGAAATTCCATCATCATTGTATTAAACCATTATACACAAAATCCAATGTATTTTCACATACACATACGCTTTCTATGATGGAACTTTGTTTTTATTTTTTTCCTTTTCTCAAAATATTATCCACTATACAGTAGCAGTTTTCTTATTTCATTATTATGTATTTTACAGATTATGTTATTTATTACGTAATTATCTTTCAGATGGTTTTCATATTATCATCATTCATTCGACATAATATTTCAACATTGATTGATGCTCATAGTGCATTTTTTTCTCCAATGGTTTCCTCATATTATTATGATCCTCGAATGTTATATATACTACTGTCGGCTCACTACTCATTCTTATCTGTATAAATAGAAATTATTCATATAATTACAAATTTCTTCATCCGACTTCATACACAATTATACGCTTTGCATATCATAATGCACTATATCTTCCCTTGAATATTATGATTGTATCTTTTCCAATAAAATATGCATTTAAATTGTTTTACACAATGATTTTTTTTAAAAAAGGAAATGAATTATTAGTTTATGCAAATATCTTTTTCCTTAAGGATTTATTCGTATTGAATTCCATTGTTCCTTTTTTATTATTTCCCTTTCGTATTTCTCTTTTCTTTTCTCTATGCCTGTCTCCCTACACTTTTCATATTATTATTATTATCATTATTATTATTATTCATTTATCTCCTATAATCTCTAGTCACTTATGAATGCATTTCCATGATAGATAGAGATTTAGATTACTATTATTATTAACACGCCCAATGAATTATTACTATTATCATTGTTAATATTATTATTTTGGACTATTATATAAAGACTGTTAATTTAACATTCTATATCTCTTAAAAACATATACATGCACATTTCTTTTTCTTTGCCTTTATTCACAAAATTTCCTCTTTAAAAATTCTTTTACCTTGTTAATATTCAATTAATAATATTTTCCTTTGTTCAATTGTTTAATATAACAAAAAAGGAGAATACATTTTTAGTATATAGTAGTTTATAGGAGTGTATCTTTTTTTATTTCTTAATGAGTTTATTTAAACTTGCATGTTAATTAAGGGTTTTTGGTTTATTTTGTGCGTAACATCGATATAGAGTTGAAGCAATAGATTTCTAGTTAGGCGAAAGCTCCTTAGTGTTGTATCTTTTTTTTAACCAAATGAATTGTTTAAAGCTTTGATTGTTCATAGTTGATTGACGTTATTGATTTAGTTAAAGGGTTTTTTTGGAGATTAGTTTGATTTGTTAGTTGGTAATTTTCACAAAGCACTAGATAGGCATTTCGTTCTAGTACGAAATCCTCTGCATAAATCAATCTAGGATCAACACAGCCAAAAAATTTGATCAGTCTTCATGAAAACATTCAACTATAATATTTAGCTCACTAGCGACCTACTTAAAAAAAAGTTTTAGTAAGAAGTCATAGAGTTTAGAGATGACTAAAATTAGAAATGTAAACCAGTGGATACCAATTCAGTTATCTGTAGTCTAAATGTACGCTTTGCGCTCTAGAGGTTACGGATACGTACTGCTAAGTCTTATGTTAGCATAAAACAGATGTCCAGTGCTCCCTGGTTCTTCTGATGGTATTCTAACAGATCAATTTTTGACGAATATAACCTATTGGACTATTGGTGTGAACCTTCAGTAAATCTGAGATAGTGATAGCTTGGTGTTGCTAGTGAAGAAAGTTTCTCGTGACAAAGACCTATTACTGCGTACTCTTTGATATTGGGATGGAACCTAGAAGTGATAATCCCTTGTTCTTTCATGATTAAATACTTTTAATTTCTCCTGCAACCCAGATAGTCCATAAATTACTAGTGTAAAGTGAGATTTTCATCGTTACTTGCAATTCATTTGAAAAGTTGCTTTTTGTTAATGTAAAAGTAAACTTTCTAGATTAACTAAATTGTTCGTTGCAGGTGAAATTAAAATTACTCGATACCTTTCTTTCTACGAACTAATTCTTTGTTCCTGTGTTATATCTTTATACACAATCTTCCTTTTATATACTACTACCATTAAAGTGACTACTATGAATTTGGTGTTCATGTTGTTGTGCTAATGAGATTTGGCATATATGTGCCTGGTCCTACGTTGTAACTGATTGACTCATTGCGGGTGATGCTATTGATTTTACAGAAATCATCACGAAAGACATATGGAGTTCATTTTCATAAGTTGTTTCCAATTTTAAATGTTAATAAATGATTGTAGCTTTTAAAATACTTTGATTTATCTTTTATATGTCTGTTCGTATTTCTCTTACAAGTAAGGATTAATTTACTACAATCAAATAGGTCACATTGCTTAATAAAGTACATAGTTTGGTATTACAATCTGTTATAAATTTGTTAAATTATTTATTCTTGAGGATGTTCTTAGTGAAGACAAATTGCAAAGCCCTTATGAAGTATCAGGTACTTTTAATTATTCTGTCAAATAAGGTACTCGTAGTAAATTTAAAAGTTGAAACATTGCTTGATGAACGTAAGTTGATTAAAATTGATAATAGTATTTTCATGATTTTCATTATCTGTTTGTGACTACATTATAATGTATTAGTATGTAAATTATGTGCATCAACAAGTTTCAGAACGTTTGTCAGCCATCAGTTTTACAGAAGTGTAGGGAAATTAATAGAATTAAGCACTATGAATATTCAAGATGACAGCGATATTATAAAAATAAAAGTAACTCTGTGAATGGAAAACTAGCATCCAGTTGAACGGTATGCAACTAATATATGCTAGGTCGATGGACTCACATCTTTACTGATAAAAACGGTCACATCTAGTAGTTCTTTAAACTATTTTGAAGCGTAAACTTGTAATCTGATTAAAAGTTTACACTCAAATTATTTGAACTGGGTCGTTTTCATGTAAATGTTATTTTTTTTGTTAATCCCGTCAAGTTGTCTGTGATTCTGTCGTGAAATTGTTGTAATATTCAAGAGTATTATAAGAAATTCAGTACTTGTTTACATACAATGATAGTTTTGTTGATTATTTTATTTTAAGAATGTAGTACCAGTAAACATTAGTCTTATTGCTTTTATGTGGAAAAACTTATTGCCAATTTTAATATAGTCTCACTCAAACTAGTCTAAGTGATTCTAGAAATAATCAAACATTCATCGTACTCATAACTTATCTACATTTCGTTAAAAATAAGAGAAATTTATCATCTAGGGAAATGGGAGAATATAATCGATTAGAATTTACTATACACATGATGCATTTTTTGTTAATATGTTGGAGGAAATATTCAATCATCAACAATAACTGTTGTTATGACAACAGACAATTAACTTTTTTAAATTAACAAATAAGCGTGCTTAAAAGACATTTATATAAACTAACAATACACTTCAAAAAAATATATAAACTTAAGTGTAGTTTTTGTTGAATAGAAAAGCATAATAATAATAATGTGCATGCAAAAGGTATTTGTGTATGAAATGAGTTGGTCAGATTTGTTATTATAGTTGACTTTCATTAAAGTCATTTATTTGCCTCCTGTAATATGCCTTTTATTTAATCATTCAGTCTCTGGTACTTTTGAACTGGATATAAGATAATGTATATCGAGAATTAATATAGGAGTGAAATATATACTTGTTTATCCTCTAATGATAAATCGATAGATTGTTTACAATAGCATTTTATTTTTGTAGTCAATTAAAGGCTTTTGAATTCTTCCTACCTACTTGAATGAACGAGGAAGTCGGAGGTAACTTTTGAATTATATTACTAACTAACTAACTAACTAACTATATATATATATATATATATATATCGGTTTCAATTTACAATTCTAGGAACTTGCAGTAAATAAACTGTTCAACATTTATTACTGACATTTATTAATTAACTATTATTTAATATGCAAACTTATTTACCTGTGCTAATTTGGAAAAAAAGCTAATTGTCTGTTGTCATAACAACAGTTATTGTTGATGATTGAATATTTCCTCCAACATATTAACAAAAAATGCATCATGTGTATAGTAAATTCTAATCGATTATATTCTCCCATTTCCCTAGATGATAAATTTCTCTTATTTTTAACGAAATGTAGATAAGTTATGAGTACGATGAATGTTTGATTATTTCTAGAATCACTTAGACTAGTTTGAGTGAGACTATATTAAAATTGGCAAAAATGTATGTGAATCATGTAATTATATCAATCGTTTACATTTTTGTTAGAAAATTTTCTTAAAATACAAGAAAATGTCATAGTTAGTTTTATAGGTTATCGCTATGCATACTACTCATAGACGTTTTAATATTAACTTGTTTAAATAATCTATGTTGATGACTTATTGAACGTTTCAGAATGTAACAGTTCACTGATGTATTTAAACATTGTCCGGGTTAGTTGATAAAGTTTGATTTTCAAATTTCTGATATGATCATCGTTGTAGGTAAGGTACAAGCTTGATGTTATTTATTTCGATAACTGGCTAAGATTTTAGAGAATCACTGCATCATAGAAGGCTATTTTTATCGTCTTGGTTAAAGATCTTTGCTTGGAACAAGAAGAAGACGAGACAATTCTCCAGTACTTTCTGGTTTTTATTGGTTGTCTAACTAGTATTAGTCTGCGATGTAAACTATAAGATTCAATAATCTCTACGATCTTCTATACTATGTACTAACTAATTTATCCAGTGGTTCTGTCTTTTCATGAGACTAAAAGTTCTAGGGACTGAAATCATATAGGATTGTAAATATATATTACTGATGAATAACGAACTATGACATAACCTATGTTCACTGCTCTAAATCTCAGTTTATGTCAATTAATCATAAGATATGATTTACAAAATAATTAATCTTGATAAATCTTCTATACTTATAGAGAGTTCATCATTTGCGTGTGGGCTGTGATACTGCCCGGGTGCCCAAACCGAAGCAGGTGGTTATCTTAGGGGGCCACACCCTGAGCCTTTGACCTAAAGG